GTATTGGGGACCTCTAAATGTGGTAGTATCCTGTGGTTTTCATGACTGGAGCTTTTATTGCTTTGACATGTATCGCAACTCCATACGTATTCTCCCATATCATTGTCCATCTTTGGGCAAAAGAACAGTGCCCGAAGATGCTCTGCAGTTTTGAATTGACCCATGTGGCTTGTGGGCTTCGAATCATGTAGGGCGCTCATGATTTTTGGTTTGAGCTCTCGGTGATTTGGGATGTAGCATCTTTTTTTCTAAAAGACATCACCATGTGTCAAAGTTAGGTTTCGGTCTACTGTCTTACCGAAGGTGTGATCCACAGCCTCCTCCGAGGAGAATTACTTAGGGTCTGAAGCTGAATGAGGCCGGATTTTGTCCAGAAGCACCGGTGTGAGTTTGTAGACCTGAGGTGATTTTGGGCGTTAAGATTTGATCGTAATGGTTGGTGGTTGTACAGAAACCATTCTGCTACGGCATCTTAGGACAGGATTCTGAGGTTAGGCGAGAACCGTAGCCGAATAATTCCCGATTCCGTTGCTATACGTTGGCCAAAAAAAATAGAATATATCACCATCGTCAGGTATGTGGGTAAAAAGTAACATGATTGTGATATCTGGAGTGGAGGTAGTGGGTGGGGGCTGTTGAGTGTTAGCTCAGGTAACCTCTAGTAGGCCAATGTCGGACAGGATTTTGAGGTTGCCTGGGAACCGTCGCCGCACAATTCCGGGCTCCATGGCTATGGGTTGAACAGGACGACCCGAGTCCATTCCCATCATCAGATATACGCGTACAGGGGGTCGTGGTCGTGATTGCGGGGGCGGAGGTGGTGGTTGGGGGCTGTTGAGTAGGGTAACTCACTGTGAGTCTTGGCGACCCATCCTGGTTCACTCCATCACCGACACTCACAACAATCGACAACTGCACCGTACCGAGCGTGCATTCTCTATCCTACAATCATGATGGCGTTCAAAACTGAATCATGCCGTGTTCCCATCTTGTGGTTCGATGAAATACACGAATTTCGGATTCTGAACCCCGGGTTACCGCATTGGGCGAATACCACTTCGACACTCGTAACCCTAACCGCCAACAGCCAGGTACAAACCACCACCAAATACAGATTTATGTATTTCATTTCTGCCGAAAATTCTATTTTGCACACCTAACCGAACCAGATGGCAACGTTCGTAACCCTAACCGCCAACAGCCAGGTTTAAACCACCACGTAATACAGATTCATGCATTTCATTTTGACCGAAAACCGTATTCTCTAACCCTAACCAAAATCCCACTTCGACGCTCGTAACCCTAACCAGCCGCATCCAGGTTTAAACCACCGCCAAATACAGATTTATGTATTTCGTTTTGACCGAGAATTGTATTTTGTATACCCAACTGAACCAGATTGCAACACTTGTAAACCTAACCAGCAACGTTCAGGTTCAAACCACCATTGAATACTCATCGATTCCTAATTCGGATTTCAATACTTGCAACCCAATATGTGAGTGACATTCCATGATCGACACCCCATCTAGTAGGCCAATGTCGGACAGGATTTTGAGGTTGCCAGGGAACCGTCGCCCCACAATTCCGGGCTCCATGGTTATGGGTTCAACAGGACGACCCGAGTCCATTCCCATCATCAGATATACGCGTACAGGGGGTCGTGGTTGTGATTGCGGGGGCGGAGGTGGTGGTTGGGGGCTGTTGAGTAGGGTAACTCACTGTGAGTCTTGGCAACCCGTCCTGGTTCACTCCCGGCGCCGCCACTCACCGGGCGGGTACAACGATCGATGACTGCATGGCACCGAACGCACCGTCTCGAGCCCACGATCATGACGGCGCACGAAATTCAATGATGCCGCGTTTCCCCATCCTCTGCTTCGATGGAATACATAAATTTCGGATTCCGAACTGCGGGTTACCGCATCGGGCGAATCCCACTTCTTGTCTCCGCTGTGTCTTCTTACGCCAACTCGGATTCTGACCTCCAGGTTACCGCCCGGTGTGTTTTCTAACACTAATTCGGATTTCAATCTCAAACAACGCTATTTGCAATACCTGCAACCCAATATCCCCTTGTTAGGGTTGGTCAAAATTACTAAGCAAATGGATTACTTCTGGTAACTTACTGGATTATATTTTTCCGACCCAAAAACTTAATTCTTTTAAAACATGTCAGTTTTATCTGAGAGCCGCTAACCACGAAACCTAAACAAATTTTTTAAATATACTCATAAACTAACTTCTAATATATAACATCGACAACTTACAATCCTAACAAAACCGATAAAAACGTTTTGCAAACAGGATCCTGTATGTCAATAGACCGCACAATATACTAAAATCTTATCGCACATGTGTTTGTACGCTAAGTTATTGACACTCTGGTCCCTGAATTGTGATCTCTTATCCGTCTCAAACCCCTTGCTTCACAAAGGAAAACAACCTTCGTGACTGTAGCAAAAACTTATAACCTGGCATACCCAACCCCCTTACGCCCCTCTACCCCACCGAGTACTGCAGGCAGGAAAAGAAGACTTTCACAAGTCTCCCCTGCCCTCAACCGATTCAGGATATCCATCACGTCCCAGCAAGGCTTCCTGAACTTCTCCTTTGTGAGAACCCTACCCACAGGGATTTTCACCCCACCACGTTTCACCGAAACCCAACAAGTTCAATCAACTCAATCTACTATCATTGAACAAATCCAACTCAACAATGAACCATTCTTCATCTTCGCAGAACACGCCCCATACAATGAACCATACACACCCCGATATTACTACATCCACTCAAGGATTGTCCTCCAGGAATCAAACGCCAGAATAGACCTGAACTATATGTTATGGGTAGTTAGTAACGCCCTCACCATCGCTATTGAACGGATCAAACAAAACATCAACCAGATCAACCACGATAACACTGCCAGCAAGGAACTCATCTTCCAGCAAAATGGGGCTCTGAAACACACCCTCGACATCCCAGCAAAACAAATGTTCGAAATAACTAAGAACCTTGACATAATAAACGAGAAACTCCACTGGCTACTACACCAAACCTCCTCAATGAACCAGACCCAACAGAACGATTCCAACCACCACAGACCGATCACAGCCCCCCCAGCTCCAGCTGCAAGCCGACTCACCCCATTACACAAAGGCAAGAAACTTGAAATATCTGTGCCCCCTGCCCAACCTAATTCAGCAGCGAACACGAATCATAAGCTGTCGCCGCCGCCCAAGATACAGGGAGTGAATTCACAACAGTCACCAACAAGCAGAAACAAAAACCTAAAGATGACCCACTGTTTAAACCAGAAATCACAAAAATCAATGGGGAACTCGTTATCGAGACAAGCAAGGATCCGCTAATCACCCCCCCCCCGATGTCAGAACCAAAATCAACTCCAAAATCCAAGATCCTGACTGCCAACTCATCACCAACCAGAAAACGAACAAAGATAACTATATCCTAGAATCAATATTCACAACCGCAGCTACCAAAGTCCTCAAATACAAAAAAGAAATCGAAGCCGCTGGCAATAAACTAAAAGTACCCATTATTGACAGCGGAGTTGATTCCTCGAGGCAGTTACCAGTGATTTTCGGGTATTATATAGTAGAGGCCCCGAGGGCCTTTGTGAAGGTTTTCGGGATGCATATTCTGCTCCACTACCACCACGGCAAGCATGCCTCCCAGACCAAAATAACAGAAACGTTCAGTTCCCGATAGACCCAGTCAGCGTGCTTCAATTTCGTCTTCTGTTAATAAACGCTTACCGGGTGCAATGAGTGTTTCCAGTGCGGCCAGCTCTTTCGATTCTATAAACTCTATAGTTTCTGGATCGACAACAGAGGTGGACACAGATTTTGGTAACGGCCCACCGAGCTTTGTAGAGAGCTTTGATAGCTATCCTGAGGGCCAAGCAGTGGTGGAATACTCCTCATGTGGGTGGGTCAGACTTAACGATCATTCAGAGGAGGACGACGCTGCCCTGTAGATATATGAAGATGACTATGACTATGTGGTTGACTATGATGAGGATGAACCTGGAGATGAGATTCTCCCACCTCCACCACCAATCCTAGCTCCACCCCGACTAACACTAAGTCCCCTCTCTGAACGTAGGCCCTCTCCACTACCACCACCATCTAACCGATCATTACAAACGCCCCCCTCAGGATGAATACTATCTCAGACTCGCCCAGAATGAAGACATTTTCAGGCTCCCCCAAGATAGGGATCACGGCTCAGGAAAAGAGCAGTGGAGGCTCCTGTAGCCTCCGTTAGGGATCTTGTAGCCTCCCGTAAGAGATCAAGTAGGCCAGTAGAAGAAGCAATTGCTTCTTCGTCTATACCGGTGAAAATAACGCAGGTATGTGCCCACTATACTCTTTGATTTGTCTATACTTATCGTGCAAGTGTGGCAATCGTGATGCAGTTAATCCACCCAAACCGACGATGCAACAGCACCCCCAGAGGGCCGGGCAAGCTTTCGAGAGAGCAATCTTTACATCTCCAAATTCCTCGGTTCGTTCGTTAAGCACCTTATGACATGAGCATGAGCTTTATCGTACACCAGCGGCTTCACAGTCATATCGTACCCCTCCGGCTACCCAATATCATGGTTTCCCATCCGTGCATGGAACACCTGGGCCGGAGTCAGTTGGCAGGTCGTATAGCAAGTTGCCAGAATACAAGCTAATAATTAAATACATCGGAAAGCTTCTCGGGTGTTATACAATGCTTGAGGAACCTTGACCACAACCTGACTCTCTTATTGTTAATATTCGAAAATTTTGGGCAGAAGCAAGCGATCATTTTAATACCACTTTAAATCTGACTAAAAGTACTAGAACAGGCCTGAGTAGGTTTAAAGCCTTCCATAAGGCTCAGGGAGCCCTTGCTTATACGACTAGGTTCAAATCGTATCTTCACGAGTGAGATAACACCTTATTTATGCTGTCAAAGACTATATAGCGAAGTGCATCCTGTATGGGATGAATGAGCTTCTTACAGCTGAGAAATGGGCCACCAAAGTCAATTATCTACTCGAAAAGGACCATCTCATCAATGACCCTGACAACTATTCGGTAAACATTTCTTGTCTTTGGTTAGCATTTTAGAAGGCTCTAACAGACTTCAGGGAGGCCGTTGGCACTTCTGGGCTCCAGAAATCCTGTACGTGATATTTCTGAAGTATTACAAAGGCGACAAGATGCGTGATGCAAAGGATCCTGATTTCGTCGATGGTATTTCTCCGGCATTCATATGCCTGGTCTGTATCGGAATCTGGTTTGTTCTCTGATGTTGGACGAATGGAGATTACGTAGAAGGTGTGCACTTCAACCCGAGCCAGAATATGGATATCATGTTTAAGGCCTCTCCAGCCCTGTGAAAGGCTCCTGCTGACTTGTCAATGTCAAGGAACGTATTCTAGGATGATGGATACATGGAAGAAGAGAAGTGTACAGAACCAAGTCGGCACTCTAGAAGTAATACGAGAAACGATTGAAGAGAAGGTCAACATCCCTATGCAACTACACATGGTGCTGAACGTACTAATAACATTACTATATAGGTTGAGGAAGTACGAAGGCCCAGGGAGTTGATATCGAAGGTGGGGTAGAAGGAAGATGATGAGGCATTGGCAGTAGATATCATGGCGTGGAGGGCTGCAAAAGCCCATCGAAAGGCTCAGGGAGACAGAGCTACGGTCGAGCATAGCAACGTGGACAACATTGGTGTATCACTATGGCTAGTTGATAGGGTAGAGGGGCTAAGTGAGGCAGTAGATATTACACCAATGCCTTCTGAAGCCTAACCAAGGGCATAGGAGGAATAAGCGGTAGGAATTCCTTTCGTGGATATGGATAAATAAATACATTGTCTCTACGCTCCATCAGAAATTTTATATGCTGATATATTACTATGTGTTTGGGTTTGGGTTACTAAGTCCCAATGAGCCTTGTTAGAGTCTGTTCGGAGGTTCTCCTGAGACGTCAGGAGAGCGGCTGGGTGCTCAAGAGAGAATGAGATGGCTCCCTATATGTCAGGAGGGTGTGAGAGGGGTTGAATTTTTTTTTTTTAATGGCTCAGAGGAGCATTGGACGGCTCGCTTATCTTTCGGGAGGGTGTGAGTTGAGTTGAATAATTTTCTTAATAGCTCAGGAGAGTATAGGAGGGCTCGACATGACCTCAACATTGCATGGGAAGGGGTGAATAGTTTTTTTATTGGCTCAGGACAGTTTAGGACACCTTTCTGATCCCTCGGGAGGGTTTAGGATAGGGTAAACAGTTTTCCTACTAGCGCAGGAGATTGTGAGAAGTGTGTTTCTGTAAATACGTATATGTGATTATCTTACTATAGGATCACTACCGGTATGGCATAGGGACAGGGGATAAGAATCGTCCTCCAGTGAGTATCAGAGATGTCACTCGTTCTCGGGATGGCTTGCTGAGGCTTCCAAAAATCTGTATCTGCTATCGTGAGACAGAAGTACAAATCTCGTATAGCATCCCGATAACGCCCAAAGCGCTCGGGAGAACCTCCCGAACCATTGACAAGTCTCCGGACGATTAGTCAGGTGCTCAAACCCCTACAGAGAATTAAAGATTGGCGGGTATCTCCGGAGATCTCCCATGTCTCCCGTGCCTTCGGTCAAGTTGGAACCGTTTGCTGATGTAGTATATATTACTTGTTAACAACATTCTTATAAATCCCGGAGTAATATTAATAAATCCAAAGTAAGAAAAAGTTCCAAATTGAATCCGAAAGCTTTTGTAGTATTGCCAATTTCATTAGCCGATGTTCCCATCCAAATCTTCAACTCCTTATAGTTCGCAAAACTCAAACAGAGTTTACCCTCAACTGAAAAATTTGGCCGCGAATTTTTTTATTAATTCAATTATTCCCCGACGTATAATTCAATTAAAAAAAAATGACACGAGTGTATATTCCGTAAACATTTCAGCAGATTGAAGCCGCAAATATATATTAACAACAGAAACCAAAAGTGATTTAATAAACCTGAATATGTATTATAATACTAAATACGCAATATTTCCAATATGGAATATGTGTTATGCATGATAGTGAAACGGAAATAAAGAAATACGTATTATTTCCATAAATAAATCACAATCCATAAGTAAGAGAAATTGAATTAATTTAAAGACTCAGGGAAATAATCCTACATAATATGTATTATTTCAAATTTATAAAACTACTTAATACGTATTATTTCACGAATTAATTCATTTAATTCAATGAAATTCAATATAGACACATATTTGAATCAATCATTTAAGTATAAAATGAAATTTAATTTAAAAACAATATAAAAACCCAATAAGAAAAAACAAAACCTACGTAAATCCAAAAAATAGCTAACTAATAAAAAATACCCAAGATTCAAATATGAAATACGAAATATGAAATAGAATATTAAAACCAATTTACAAGGTACCAAGTCTTTCCATGAATTCAGGTGGAAAAGAAATCTCCTCCAAAGTATTAACTTGCTCCTGTAATCTTTGCACCTGCTCACTCATAGTATCCAATTTCCCCTGCAACTCAATCTTCTCCAACACCAGCCTTTTTTTCTCCAGGTCAAACTCCTGAAACTTTGCCCTCAAAGTGGAATTAATCAAGTCTCTAACACCTGATGCTGGAATATTATTAGTCTATAATAAATCTCAATTGGAGGTGAAATACATACCACCACTAAACATAGCTTCCATGAGAACCTTATCATCAATGGTACTACTACTCACTTGACTTTGTGTTTTAACAACTGACGTAGGTCCCACTGTTTTGGGTATGGGTTTGGGTGTTTGGAGTTTGACCTGTTTATTCTATATGATGTTAGTCAAATTATTAAAACAGCAGCAAAGTGTAATACCTACAGCAACACCAATTTCACTAACACCATCCTTGTCATCAACTCTTTATCTTTTACCCAACCCAACTGATGTCTTTGATGGATTTGGTGAACATATTTGTTTGAGGTGGACATTGTGCTCACCAGCACCCAACTGATTCAGTGGCTTGGGTTTTTTTAACTCAACTGTTGGGTTTGGCTTTGGGGTTAGTCTAGTAGTCGAATGTCGGACAGGATTTTGAGGTTGCCCGGGAACCGTCGCCCCACAATTCCGGGCTCCGTGGGTATGGGTCGAACAGGACGACCCGAGTCCATTCCCATCATCAGGTATGCGCGTACAGGGGGTCGTGGTCGTGATTGCGGGGGCGGAGGTGGTGGTTGGGGGCTGTTGAGTAGGGTAACTCACTGTGAGTCTTGGCGACCCATCCTGGTTCACTCCCGGCACCGCCACTCACCGGGCGGGTACAACGATCGATGACTGCATGGCACCGAACGCACCGTCTCGAGCCCACGATCATGACGGCGCACGAAATTCAATGATGCCGCATTTCCCCATCCTCTGCTTCGATGGAATACATAAATTTCGGATTGCGAACTGCGGGTCACCGCATCGGGCGAATCCCACTTCTTGTCTCCGCTGTGTCTTCTTACGCCAACTCGGATTCTGACCTCCAGGTTACCGCCCGGTGTGTTTTCTAACACTAAATCGGATTTCAATCTCAAACAACGCTATGTGCAATACCTGCAACCCAATATGTGAGTGACGATCCATGACCGACATTCCATATTGTGTATTGTTGCAGTCTAGTAGTCGAATGTCGGACAGGATTTTGAGGTTGCCCGGGAACCGTCGCCCCACAATTCCGGGCTCCGTGGGTATGGGTCGAACAGGACGACCCGAGTCCATTCCCATCATCAGGTATGCGCGTACAGGGGGTCGTGGTCGTGATTGCGGGGGCGGAGGTGGTGGTTGGGGGCTGTTGAGTAGGGTAACTCACTGTGAGTCTTGGCGACCCATCCTGGTTCACTCCCGGCACCGCCACTCACCGGGCGGGTACAACGATCGATGACTGCATGGCACCGAACGCACCGTCTCGAGCCCACGATCATGATGGCGCACGAAATTCAATGATGCCGCGTTTCCCCATCCTCTGCTTCGATGGAATACATAAATTTCGGATTCCGAACTGCGGGTCACCGCATCGGGCGAATCCCACTTCTTGTCTCCGCTGTGTCTTCTCACGCCAACTCGGATTCTGACCTCCAGGTTACCGCCCGGTGTGTTTTGTAACACCAAATCGGATTTCAATCTCAAACAACGCTATGTGCAATACCTGCAACCCAATATGTGAGTGACGATCCATGACCGACATTCCATATTGTGTATTGTTGCAGTCTAGTAGTCGAATGTCGGACAGGATTTTGAGGTTGCCCGGGAACCGTCGCCCCACAATTCCGGGCTCCGTGGCTATGGGTCGAACAGGACGACCCGAGTCCATTCCCATCATCAGGTATGCGCGTACAGGGGGTCGTGGTCGTGATTGCGGGGGCGGAGGTGGTGGGTGGGGGCCGTTGAGTAGGGTAACTCACTGTGAGTCTTGGCGACCCGTCCTGGTTCACTCCATCACCGAGACTCACAACAATCGACAACTGCACCGTACCGAGCGTGCATTCTCTATCCTATAATCATGACAGCGTTCAAAACTGAATCATCCCGTGTTTCCCCATCTTGCGGTTCGATGAAATACACGCATTTAGGATTCTGAACCCCGGGTTACCGCATTGGGCGAATACCACTTCGACGCTCGTAACCCTAACCGCCAACAGCCAGGTACAAACCACCACCAAATACAGATTTATGTATTTCATTTCTGCCGAAAATTCTATTTTGCACACCTAACCGAACCAGATGGCAATGCTCGTAACCCTAACCGCCAACAGCCAGGTTTAAACCACCTCGTAATACAGATTCATGCATTTCATTTTGACCGAAAACCGTATTCTCTAACCCTAACCAAAATCCCACTTCAAGGCTCGTAACCCTAACTACCCACATCCAGGTTCCAACCACCACCAAATACACATTCAAGTATTTCATTTTGACCGAGGATTGTATTTTGTACACGTAAGCAAACCAACTTTCAACGCTCGTAACCCTAACTACCCACATCCAGGTTTCAACCACCACCAAATACACATTGTATTTCATTTTGACCGAGGATTGTATGTTGTACACGTAACCAATTCAGATTTGAACGCTCATAACCCTAACTACCCACATCCAGGTTCCAACCACCACCAAATACACATTCAAGTGTTTCATTTTGACCGAGGATTGTATGTTGTACACGTAACCAAACCAACTTTCAACGCTCCTAACCCTAACTATCCACATCCAGGTTTCGACCACCACCAAATACACTGTATTTCATTTTGACCGAACATTGTATTTTGTACACGTAAGCAAACCAACTTTCAACGCTCGTAACCCTAACCGCCAACAGCCAGGTTTAAACCACCTCGTAATACAGATTCATGCATTTCATTTTGACCGAAAACCGTATTCTCTAACCCTAACCAAAATCCCACTTCAACGCTCGTAACCCTAACTACCCACATCCAGGTTCCAACCACCACCAAATACACATTCAAGTGTTTCATTTTGACCGAGGATTGTATGTTGTACACGTAAGCAAACCAACTTTCAAGGCTCGTAACCATAACTACCCACATCCAGGTTTCAACCACCACCAAATACACATTGTATTTCATTCTGACCGAACATTGTATTTTGTACATGTAACCAATTCAGATTTGAACGCTCATAACTTCAACTACCCATATTCAGGTTTCAACCACCACCAAATACACATTCAAGTATTTCATTTTGACAGAAGATTGTATTTTGTGCACGTAACCAAACCAACTTTCAACGCTCCTAACCCTAACTACTCACATCCAGGTTTCGACCACCACCAAATACACTGTATTTCATTTTGACCGAACATTGTATTTTGTACCAATAGAATAACAACGACCTGAAGAAAAATAGATAGAAAAGTGTCACTTCAGTATTCTGTCCTACATTCTAATTCCGATACGTAACCATGAAGGTTGCAATTACCAGTCTTCGGGTTATATAGGATTATTGTTCTAGACACTACTGAGCAATATTGAATCGCTGGATAGATATGCATATCTACTAGGACAATATGTAAAGCAAACACTAAAGGTGAAATTGGTTACTACTGTTTGTGACAGCTTGAGAGGTATAATATCAATCGAAACAGAAACTGCATCACAGTTTGAAATTGAGATTTGTTGGTATGGTTTGCTATGATTCGATTTGTATGCACACTTGTTGTGACAGAATGTAAATTAGGAATACTAAATAAGATTTGTGAGAATTTTTGGCAATCGCTTGATACGTATGCATACAAATCGGAATGGCAAGTAAAGTGTATACCGATAAGAAACGCTTTCTGTATGATGGTTGAATACTAAATAGGAGTCGATACCTGTCAGGAAAATATTCGAATCAGTAATTAGCAGTGAACTTGGTTGATATCATTAATAATTGGTTCATACTTACTAGAGGTGCACCACCTCGCGACCACGAGGTCCCCTTCTCTCCCACCTATGTGTAGTATCTAGGCACCTCCAGTAATTAGTTAATTTTGTCTTTGCCGTCTCATGTTCTGTTTTCCCGGCCATGTCACATAAATGCCTAAATTTTGCTCTGGAGATCTATTTCCGATTTTCAATGCCAGCTCCAGTGCGAGTTAAAATTAAGGTCAGCCCCACTGTCAGCTTCGGTGTCGGCTCAAATATATACCAGCTCTAGCTGGAGCTGCCCGAATACCATCTCTAATGCCCACTCCAGTGCCAGCTCCATTAGATACCGGCTCCAGTGCCAGCTCAGATACATGCCAGCTCCAGTGTCCACTTCTCTGCAAGCTCCAGTGCCCGCTTCGCTTCCAGCTCCAGTACCAGCTCTGATGCCGCTCCGGTGGCAGCTCCGGTACCCGCTCCAGTATCCGCTCCGGTGCCAGCTACGGTGCCAGCTCTAACCCTCACTCCTGTGCCCGCTCTTGTGCCCACCCCTGTTCCCGCTCATGTTCCTGCTCGTCTTCCCGCTCTTGTGTCCGCTCCGGTGACCGCTCGAGTGACTACTCCGGCGTTCGCCTCGATGCCAGCTCCTGTGCCAGCTCCAATGCCAGCTCCAGTGCCAGCTCTGATATATTCCAGCTTCCTTCACCGTTCCTCCACCACACTGGCACCTCCTCTTCCCCTCTTACTGGTCTTCTCTCTCCCTCTTCGCACTCCCCGCCAACTACTGTTCGTCTCTCTCGCCTATTCTGCTCATATTTGACTACTAAATAGCTATATTTATTATTTAATCATAAAGGGTTCCGTTGGTTGGGCTGGTCTCATAGGTAAGGTCAGGGTTAGGGTTTGGGCTTGGCAGGAAAATAGGTAGGGTAACGGCCCTGAGCAGGCAGGGTAACGCCCAAAAAAGGTAGTGTAACGCCCAAAAAAGGTAGGGTTACGCACAAAAAAGGTAGGGTAACGGCTCAGAGCAGGCAGAGCAACCGCACTAATCGGGTAGGGTAACCATCTCAAAATAGGCAGGGTAACAGAACAAAATCGGGCAGGGTAACTGCACCAAACACACGAATTTGATGTGTCGTGCTTACAAAACACCCCTGTCACTGTCAACCAATCAGATTATAGCAATCTCAGAAGAATTATATTCCGGTACATATTAGATACATTCTCATCAGAACAGCAAATTTAACAGTTATTGACGAACAAAACCTTTTGTATTATTTACAATCCTTTGATGGGTATGTATCAGGACAGCGAGTATATCAGAAATTCAAATTCTCATTTGTTACAATCGTTCATGAAGGTTTGAAAGCTATGAATATTTATTGGCACAGTAAAATACTGAAATTGATACTCAATGTATTT